ATAATGGAAAAAATACTGTTAAATTCGCCCCTACCCTGTTCGCATAAAAACCATGATCATCGTAAATTTAAAATCTCGAAAATACTCCTAAAATCAATAAACTATCAAACGTTTAAATAAAAATTAAAATCTAACCCAGAAAAACAAAGTAATTTAAATTTTTTCAAATTTAAAATAATAAACAATAGCAAGCCAAATACGTGTCTTGTTGGTAATAGGATTTCTCATAAAATAATTTTTATTATATTTGTGAAACTGAAAACATAATTTTAAAACTTTTATGAGTATTCAATTTAAGGTAAAGTTAATTATGTAATTAATTTTGAAATAAAAAACAATGTTAACAATATCTTAAATCGTTCTAAACGTTAGTCTAAATTTTAAGTTTTATAAAAAAATTTTTAATAAAGTTAATTTAAATATTAAAAAAAGTATCCAATTTAGTTAAATCTTTGGTACACCTTTAACATACAATTAAATTAGTTAAAAATATGCTCCATACAAATAGATTAATATCTTTTTTCAATTAAATTTATTAATTAGGCATATTTAAATTTCATATTAAAAAATAGTTTATAAAATATCATAAACAGGATATGCTATATAAAAGAGCGAATACAATAAAATACAAAGGCCATGTCCTTGTTCGTCTTAAGTTTGTATTAAAATTATTTGTTATATATGTTGTATTCCATATTAAATCAACCAAAAAAAGTCGATTCTCAACCCGACCCCCTTCGATTTTTTTAAAAATTTGTATTTTGGTAGTATGTATACCTAACTAATAAAAATGTAAAATTTTACTTTTCAAATCGGCTTACTCATGAGATATGGCCATTTTTAGAAAGGCGAAAATTTCAAATTACACTATATTTAATTTTAAATATCTCAAAAGGTAATTAAGCTAAAAACACAATTTAAATCTTATTAAATAGCTCTAGAATAGCCGTTTCATATGATATAAAATTTATTTTATTGAAAATAAATCTATTACCAAAAACAAGAAATGGCTATAAAATAAAAATTGTTATTTTTTTTCTTTCAAATTTTTTTACAGATAGACATTATACATCATAATATTTGTACAAAATCCTAGATTGGGACGAGTACTGGGCCAATAGTTATTACACTTTAAATATAAGTAATATGGCTTAAATCCTATATTATACCAAATGTATAGTAATTTATGAAACAAATAAAAAAAAATTCGTTTGAGATCGGGCCGGATATATTTTTTTATAAATCTTTCTGGCCGTGTTAGAAAAATTAGGCCCTATGCAGATCACTAGTAGACATTGTGTCATATTTAACATATAAGTTTAGCTATTTTATTTTAGAAAGAAAATAATTGTAAAAATATTTGCTAATTATTTATTACAAGAATATCAATGGGAAATTAATATTGTAAATAAACATATAATTAAATAATTTCATACATTAAATAATTTAATGAATTAGAATAAAATTTGACTTTCATCATTCCTTCCATTGGAATAAATGAAAAATATTTTTGTGCCCCTGGAATTTGTTTGGCCGTTAAAAATCTATTTTCGAGATTGGTTTCCATTCTTAAATATTCAACGTGCTGATATTTGTAATTAATCCCCGGGATTCTCATAATTATATAAATCCATAGGAGTTAGTATATAAATTTATTAAGGACGCTGCAGGCTTGCTCTAGCTCAACCTCTTAGTAATTCCCCCTAAGCTATTGCAAGGAGTTTTGCCATGTGCAGTTGTAAAAAATACCATTCTGCCTTGATCCCAAAATCATTATAATGGTTGTTAGAAGTTTACAAAGTTTTTTTTGTTTTCATAGGGTAACAGTTCCATCATAAAATAAAAAATTATTGAAATCTTATCAAATCTTTCTTACAAGAATATATTAATTATTTGAAATAAATAAAAGGAACAAGTATTGTGTTCTAGACAATCTGATATAACCACGTAATTTACATGTTTGATGATATCGCTTGGTAATAAATCATAAATGGATGAAGTGTTGCTTGATTATTAGTCCAATGGAAACCTTGAGAGTGATCTTGAACAACAAAGCAATTCGATTTTAATGACTTAAAAAATGAAGATTGTTCCGAAGAAATAAATGCATGAGGAATTAAAAGATTTAATTTTCCAATCAAATATTCCACAAATTCGCTGGCGAACTTAGTTAACGTTTCTAGGGTAGCACGGTCGGCCGCCAACCATTGTTTAAATGTTATATAATCTATGACATTAATATCAAACAATAAATGTGTCATTCTTTAAGTTCCAAAGCCGAGACATATTTGGCATTTACTTAAGTAACAGCAAGGCTGGGATAGATTGAATAGACTTTGCTTTGTGCAATGTAGTGTTTATAATTTTTAAGGGAGGAAATGGATAGTCTCAAGGTTTCCATTGTACAAATAATCAGGCATCACTTATCCATTTATGATTTATTACAGCGAAAGCGATATCATCAAACATGTAAGTTACGTGGTTATATCATATTGTCTAAAACACAATACTTGTTCCTATTATATATTTCAAATAAAATTAATTCTATTCTTGAAAGAAAGATTTGATAAGATTTCAATAATTTTTTATTTTTCTGATGGAGCTGTTATCCAGTATAAAAAGAAAAATCTTTTTAAACCTCTACAACCATTATAACGATTTTGGGATCAAGGCAGAATGACATTTTTTTGCAACTGCACATGGCAAAACTCCGGGGGAATTACTAAGAGGTTGGCGGCTAGAGCAAGCCTGCAACGTCCTTATAAAAATCATATACATACTAACTCCTATGGATTTGTATAATTATGCGAGAATTAATATCCCGGGGATTAATTACATTATCAGCAAGTTGAATATTTAAGAATGGAAATCAATCTCGAAAATAGATATTTAACGGCCTAACGAATTCCCGGGACACAAAAATATAATTCATTTATTCCAATAGAAGGAAGAAAAAAAGTCAAATTTTATTTTAATTCTTTAGATTATTTAAGGTATGATATTATTTAATTTATGTTTATCACAATATTAATTTCCCGTTGATATTCATGTAATATAAATAATTAGCTAAATAAAGTTATAAATATTTTTACAATTATTTTCTTTCTAAAATAAAATAGCTAAACTTATGTGTTAAATATGACACAGTCTACTAGTGATCGATCTGCATAGGGCCTAACCGAAAGATTTATAAAAAAATATATCCGGCCCGATCCCAAACGAATTTTCTTTTTATTTGTTTCGTAAATTACTATACATTTGGTATAATATGAATTTATCCCATACTACTTATATTTAAAGTGTAATAATTATTGGCCCAATGCTCCAATCTAGGATTTTGTACAAACATTAAGAAATATATCTAGTAAAAAAAATATGAAAGAAAAAAAAAGCAATTATAGCCATTTCCGATTTTAGGTAATAGATCTATTTTTAATATAATAAATTTTATATCATATTAAAGGGCGGTTCTAGAGCTATTTAATAAAATCAAATTATATCTTTAGCTTAATTACTTTTTGAGATATTTAAAATTAAATATAGTGTATTTTGGTTGAGAATTAAAATTTTATATTTTTACTAGTTAGTGTATATACTAACATCATACAAATTTTTTAAAAAATCGAAGAGGGTCAAGTTAAATCTTCAGTTGATTTGATATGGAATACAACATATATTTTTTTTGGTTACAAATAAAACAAATTGTCATTACCAATTACGTAAATCTAAATAGCCTCTTCTTTTTAGGCTGTTTAGAGGAGGCTATATAGAGGGCTAAATATAGAACTAGAAAAACGAACCAGACACGAGCTAAGTATTTTTTTTAATATGAAGTTAATAGAGCGAGGAGGGATATACTTTATCATTTTATGAGCTCGATTTTTTTGGAGGATCTTAAGCTTAACAATAATATTATGACATAGGCTCTTGTTGGATATTAGGAGGTAGTGTGAAGAAAAATTGGTAATCTAACCATTAAGTAAGGCGCATAGCCAAGGGGTTGGGGAAAGGTGAAAATCCCCCTATCGTAAATTTGTCTGTTCTCTTAAGTATCGTTTTAAGCGAATAAAAGTTTCCCCCTACTCAACCCCCCCCCCCACTCCACCCACATCTCCCAAAAAATGTATACAATATATCACTATAAAGAAGAATTTGAAAGAAAAATTAGTAAAAGTTAATAAACTTTTTAAAATAATGACTATAATTCAAAATTTCTAAAAGCCCAAAATTATTTTTTAAAAATATCATAATAGCCAAAGGCCTAAAATAAGTGGACCTAATGACCTCCAATAAAATTTATGACGGAAAACCCAGCCCAATAGTGTTCCCCCTATAAGAAAATCCTGGATTCACCTATGCCATTCATAAATGTTTTATCGATAACGAAGATACAAAACTGTTGTATTTAGGTCGAATTATATTAATTAAGACTCCTTGTAGAAGGATAAAAAGCCTTAATTTGGGTTTTTGGTCTTAGATGTAATGCAATGCCCGAAATCCTTGAAAAAGGAAAGGGCGTGAGTGCCAAAGGAAGTTAGTGTTGTAGCAATGATTGGTATGAATCCATGGTTAGAAAGCAAAGCAGAAAATTTAAGCATCATGGTTCAGATTGGAGGGTGAGAGTGAATCTGCAAAGGAAATGTAAAATAAATTAGAGGTACTCTTTTAGCAGGTCTAACAATAGTTGGCTGAAGTTGGGTTTTAAAACTTTGCAACTAGGCTAGCCGGGTTTTATTTTTTCCCGGTGTCTTATCCTAATCGTGTTTATTTTACTTTTTGTCCTGGAATTGCCCTGGTTTCAAAAAATTAATTTAGTTTAAGCCCATACCCAGTCCTGTAAACCTCTATTACATACATACAGATTAACTATACCTTTATCGCGGAACCAGAAATTGAAAATATAAAAGCAGGAAACGCAGCGAAATATTTGTGAATTAGATTTCAGGCGATCTAAAATAGACCCACCAAAAAATGAATTAATATTAATATAAATAATAAACCTTTCGTTTTACATCCATGAATTGAGAGACCATCAAAGAACAGTAAAAGCCCATCTGTATCATGTAATACCAGTAAATGTCTCGACTCACGTGCTAAAAAACATTATAACATCGAATATAATTATGTAATCCTAAGATTTTTTTTATATAGGGCAAAAAAGGAAAACACATACCCAAAAAGAACTAAAATTTCTAGGGGGCTCTCAAGATCTTTTAAGAAACTTGTGCTTCCTTGAGCCAACCATATATAATTTTAATAATTTTGGAGATCATTGTAAAAATGTGCTAAATCTACAAAAAAAAATTAAGATAAAATGTTTGAGCGCCAATGAATTGGATATACTAAATAGAGTAAAACCCGAAATAGAAGCAATGATAAGCCCTACAAAATGTTGATATATTTTATTTGAAATAGTAAAATGAAAATTATCAACCTTGATGAAAGTGATTTTGAGTGTAAATAGTTAAGATTTTAAGTACATACTATTTCAATCTTGCTCTAAGACGAAATAAAATCAACAGGTTAAAATTGCCTCGAGGAAAATCAAAATATTGGGTAATGCACAACCCCCCTAATGTAGATAGAACGTTCCTATTTTTAAGCTTTTGCTTTTCCCCGATTAATCTATCATTTTTTAAAAATTATTTATTTACCAGTTAAAAAATTATTAATTTTAATAATGAATTTGACTAACTTGAAAAGGATAATCTGTCCAACAATATTTAGTGTCCCATAACCAAGGTTTCTATCATCATATCATAATCAAAGTTTTATTTAAATAAATTTGGAATATAAAAATAAACATACCAATTTATATGTTAAAAAATTTTATTCGACCGACCTCTTTTGATTTTAACGAAACTCAGTATACAAAGCTAACCAAATGCCAACTTTGATGCTTTTAATTTTTTTAGATCGAATTTATAATCAATAAAAACTATAAAATGACTACGCCAGTAACCCTTTTTATAAAATCCTGCTAATTCTAAAGGTTGGTTAAAACAATGCCAAATTATAATTAAGATTGATGTGACCTAACATCTGAGCAAATTTTTAACCTCGATTACCTATTATAGTGTTATTAAAAGTTACTTTTGAAAGGTAATAAGTTACAGTTATTAATTATTGATAGTTACTTTTTAAATAATTTATATAACCCACCATTTTTTAATATAATTTTTACAAATTGTAAATCAAAAGAATTTAAATGAAAATATGAAATTATTAATAAAATTTATATATTTTTATTTCCACAGAAAAATGTAAAAATTAGAAAATATAAATAATATTTATTTTTCATAAAAATTTGAGATTAAGAATTTTTTTATTTGATTAAAATTGGGCTCTTTTCAAAATTTATGTCTAAAGGTATCCTTGTTTTTCTCTAAATTAGGCCCATTCAAAAACAAATCAAATAGCGTATTATTCATATTCGGTTCGTATGAATAATACAATTTACTATCTGTTTTTCAAAATATTATGAAGTAATTCATACATAAATGGATATTAATTAAATTTATAATGCTAAACCATTTTTAAGGTAAAGAATTTTTCTTATTATCTTCTTTATAAAACATGCGATTATTGACAACAAATTAATTACAACTAAGAAAAGTCTTTCACATGCAATACATAATCTGGGTTCGAATAAACAAATAAATCGAATAATTAGTTGATTATTCGAATTTAGTTCTTTATTTGTATTCGAACAAAACAAATAATTTACTACTTGTATTCATTCGCTTTGTTTTTTTAATAAGCCTATTCTAAATATAAGCTTTCTTAGACAACAGAAATATGAATGATTTATGTAAGTGAATCTCTATATAAAAAAAAGTAATTTCAAATTTGGGAAATGATCATATAAAGGTAATAAGAGATATTATTATTAAACCAGGGGTTCGAACCGAACCCAGAGAACAAAACCCGGGTTTTTCGGAAAAAATTGAACCCGAACCGAACCTGAACCCCTATTATAGGATTTTCAAAACCTCGAACCGAACCCGGGAATTTTATTTGAACCCGGGTTCAACCGAGTTTTGTGTATTGTTTAAATTAATATAAGATATTTGTATAATTGTATATACATATATTAATAATTTACTTGACATTTTATTATATTTCCAAATTTCCATTTAAGTGAAGTGTTAATAAATTTTAAACAACTTAATTCATTTACTCCATTTGTAAATTTATTCTCAAAGATTCCTATGGGATTGTTAATAAATTTTAAACAATTAAATTTATTTAGGCCATTTATTTTTAATTTTTAACTTATTCTCAAAGATTATTAATTAGAGGAAAATGAAAGTGAACAAGTCAAAGTAAAAATGATTATATTGGATATTGTTAATTTAAAGAAATACGTCTAAATTAAATTTAAATCTATACATGAGTATGCTTTGTATTTTTAACTATATTTGCCTATAAATAAAATAAAAAATTTATTTTTTATATCAAATTTATGTCTAGTTTTTTAATTATGATTTAAATATAAAATATTTTTTAATTAATTCAAAAATTCTTAAACCCGAGCTAAACATGGAACCAAACCCGGGTTCAAAAATATTTCCCTGAACCGAACCCGAATCGAACCCACCTATTTTTTTTAACCTTAAACTGAACCCGAACCGAACTCGAACCAAACCTCGGGCAAAAATTTTGCCGGGTTCGCATTTTTGTTTAAACATATTTTTAGATGTAACTAATAAGTAACTAGTTAGTCTTGTAGTCATATTTCAAAAATATTACTAGTTACTAATATATCTTTTCAATTGTAACTCTTACAGTTACTTTTACGCCAAAAGGTCTAATTAGTTATGTTAACACTACTATTACACTTTTGGAGATATTAGGGGTAAAGCATAATCATCTTTACGAGTGCCAGTTTTCGTTATGATAAAAACTAAGCAATTGAATAAAAACCTAAATATTTTATTTTATTCTATTTTTAAAAAATTTTATGGACTATTTTAACTAATAAAATCCTCATAAATAAAATAACTCCGATTTTTGAAAAATTAAAGATAAACATTATTATTCTCAGTGGAGTAAAACAAGTACCGGCCGAGGATACCTCCAAAGATTTTGGAAAATTTAGACACTCCAAAAGTAAAGATGATTGAGTTGAAATTAAAATATTTTTATATTTTGTAGAAAAACAATTAAAAATTAGAAGTGAGAAAAATGGTTATAGAGATCAGAGACCTGCATAGGTACCATTTGCACGGCCCGGCCCGGTTTTAAATTTTTTAGGCCCGGCCCGGATATTTTAAAAAAAAATTTTTTACGGCCCGGCCCGGATTTAAAAATTTAAGACCGGCACGGATATTTTTTAAAAAAAACAGGCGCTGCTCGGAATTTTTTAAAATTATATTCGACCTGGTATATACAAAAATTCACCTATGAGGTATTTTACCATATTTTTCAGCGAGTATTATCGCTTATTATTTAAAAAATATAGGTAGCTAATATTTTGAGAATATTATATTCAATTTATAAAAATTATAAAAATGGATATTTTGAGCATATATGCTATATTTTATATTGCATTTATAAAAATAAAACTAATATTCATAAAAATGGTAATAATATTTTGAGCATATACTATATTTTATATTGCATTTAAAAAAAATAAAACTAATATTTAATTTATAAAAATGGAAAATATTTTGAGAATATAATATATTGTATTTAATTTACTATTTAATTTATAAAATAAAATTAAATCGCTATTTAAAAAAATGCATGTATAATAAATAGTATTTTGAAAATATTATCTAATTGCACAATATTAATATAATTTATTTTATAATATAAATTTTTAACAAAAGAAGATAATTGTATTATATAATATTGTAAAAAAAAATAATGAAAAATGTTGGATTAAAAACTTTCATGACTCAAGGTAAATATAATAAATGCAATAAATATTTGACAGTTTGCAAAGTAAAAAACCAGCATGATTGACGAAACCCTATACTCAAGAAAGATATAAAAATTCACAAATTATCATGAAGAAAGAGAAGCATATCTACCTTTTCAGGTTGAAGATTACTTCTTCTTTCTTCAAGATTTCTCCAAGTAGTGGAAAAATTCCGCTCACAGCTTGCACTTGAAGCAGAAATTGCCAATTTTGCTAAAATTGGAAATTCGCTTTGATGAGCCGCCCACCACTCTAACAAATCATCCACCTTATATGTTTTATATATTTTTTTATTTATGTAATTATAATATTCATCATCGGATATTGACATATTACCAGAATTACCATCGCCCCATTTGTCATAAAACGATTCAGTTTGTTTAACAACAGTCATAATTTGACTGGTCGATGGTATTTCATTTACTTCCTGAGCCTCTTGTAATTTAATATAATCTTTTATATAGTTTTCCGTCATCTTGCGATCTGTCCCTGTGACTACATACGTAATTGCTTGAATTTGGGACAGAGAAAAAGAGAAATAAAATGATACTTGTGTAAAACAAATTTTTCAATTAAAAAATGCTTTATATTAAGTAAAATCAATTTTATTTCTCCTTTTTCGCTTTGAAAGGTATTACAAACTTCAAGAAGTGATATTCCTTTATTTGATTGTTTTGGTAAAATATGTTGTAAAAATTTAGATATGAATTATAAAAAAATATATTAATACTTTGAATAAATTTGCAGGAAATTAATAATGAGATCGATCTGTGGGTGTTAGGTAGTGTTAACCATCACCCAATATTATATCATAACCAGGGTTGCCATGTCTCCCCCCATCAGTGGGAGTCTCCCACAATTTTTTTGTTTACCCACATACATCTCACTCCCACAAAACTCCCACAATTTTTTTTAGCATTTTAAATAAATAATAATTTTGAGAGACAGTATTTGATTATTTTTATATTTTTAAAATAAATTTTAAATATAATATGTCTAGTTCTTTTATTTTATTTTTCCGCTCTAAAATATATTTTTTATAAAATTCTCCAATTCTCCACTCGACATTTTCAAAATTTTTGTGTTAGAAAGAATAGAAGTTAGAACAGTATGTAAAATTATTATAAATATATTTTAAATTACTTAATATTAGTGCTGTAAACATTTTTAAAAAAATCGAACGCGTTCAACGTTCATTGACAAAAATCGAACGCGTTCACGTTCAAATTCAAAAAAAGGAACGCGTTCAAGTTCATGAACGCGTTCATGCGTTCAAAATTGTATGATAAATTTTTTTTAAAATTTAATTTAACAAAATGCCTTATATTTTTCAACACAATATATAAGCCATGATAAAAAATAATAGTTTTATTTTGATAATATAATTATAAATACAATATAATAGAGCGATAAAAAAATAAATTTATAAAAAATTTTTCTTATTAATTTTTAATAATAATTGCTTTTCAAAATTTTGATCTGATAGGCATGAACGCTTGGCAGTTAATACAGCGTTAGCTATACTAAAAACTCGCTCAACAGGGGCAGATGAAGGGATTGCGGTGTTATACTTGATAAACAATTCTTTTAAAAGGGGGAATTTATTAAAAACATTTAATGTTTTATCCTTTGTTTGAAAAAATTGAGCTATGTTATCATCCTCCAATCTGCCCTCTTCTTCCTCGTCAAAAAAAAGATATCTCGGAATTGACAGTTCTTTCATTATCAATTCTTGGGGTTTCAATGCCTTTTTTCAAAAAAGCTATAAGTTTATTCTTTAAAGGTTCATTTTGTGGAAGCTTTATCCAAGGCCATTGAAG